TTTTTTTTTTTTTTTTTTTCTGTCTACAAAGATGACCACGAAATCTACATGTGTGTAATTATTTTTATTATATTTTTTGAACACCATTTGACTAACTTCAAATTGTGATTTGATGATAAGATAAGTTACAATGATTTGAATAATTCATTAATTGATTTGGTTGTTTAGATTTTTTTTTTCGTGTAGAGAGATTGACTGAGTTAATGTACACGTGTTTAATCATTAAATGTATTTCTGTTAGTATATTAGCTTGGTATAAAAATTATAGTATTATATTATTCAATGATAAATATTAAGGATGCTTTATTGTAATTGTGTTATTTAAATGTGCTGTTTAAAATAGTATTATGCTTTATTCTTCAATTGCACAAGATTTATCTCGACCACCATTACAATGACATCTAAATATGTGTTAAATTAGAGTAAAATTATTATTTATCATAAAAATTCTAAAAACCAAAATAAAAATAATTGAAAATGCGATTAACGAATAGGATTGATTCGTCGATCTTCTCGACATCAATCAATGTGATGAACCTTCGAAAGTCGAAACGGTAAATTGAAAAGTCACCCTTGTAGCTTATGTGTTCAGTTCTACCATATAAGATAAGCCTGTATTTGGCAATGGTGGATCTGTACATTCCAATGTTACTCTCGACCCGATAGTTTCGAAGTGCATAGACATCCCCTTCTTCAAATTTATTGATGAAAGTAGGGATGTTTATTGCTCTTATTATTGCAATAATTCGATCGCCCTTGAAAAAAAAATATATAATATTGTAAATTATAGTGTAATATGATAAGAAATGTTTAATCATTAACTTTTATTGTAAATTATACCTCAATGTCATGAAAGACAATCTCAAGGATGTTCTTGTAGGATGAGTATTCATTAGTCCTTTGAAAGACTCGAACAACTCTTAGCTTGATCATTGGTCTGTTAGTCCTTATTACTTGTTTGATGTTTCCCCAAGACTTTTGCCATTTTTCTGCTTCAATGCTTTACGTCCAAATGGGAGTAAGATTTTTTTGCGATACGTGATGCACTATCATTCTATAATTTTATAGGCATGGGATAATAGTTGATAAACATTAGATTAATTTAAAATATGAGTTTTAATAAACTGAAACTCTTGTATGATGATAAGATAAGTGTAATTTAGTTAAGAAGATGAGATATTTCGTTGTCAATATATATCTTAACTAATTCATACCATGCAAATTATCTACCACGTGCAATGTTAAAGAATGAGATGTCAATATATTATTGTTCAATATTATCTCTTACGTAAATTATGAATTCAGTTTGTGATTTTGCATTAATAAAGAACTAACCCATGCAATTTTAAATCATCACTTATTTACATATTATTGTTCCTATATTATCTCTAGATCATTAATAATTATCTCTAAACCATTAATAATTATCTCTAAACCATCAAATGTTAATTTAATAATTAAACTACAACGTGGAATTTTAACTTTTCGGTTATCCATATATTCTTGATCCAGTATTATCTCCACACAATTAATTATGAATTCAATTTATGTTTTTGCATGAATAGAGGACTACCACATGCGATTTTAAGAAATAACTTATCTGCAGATTAGAGATTAATATATAACTTATTATAATATAGATTTAAGCAAAATTTATTCAACCATTTTATAAAAATATTGTTTGATCATGAGTGAAATTGTGGCTTATCCACAAATGTGGAATTGAGGCTTATCTACAAATTATTATTTGTTAGGATATAATTGTGGCGTTAATATTTATCCTTTTATCGTTAATATTTGCATTTATTATATAACAAAAATTAATTAATATAAATATTATAATCGAACAAATATTTATTAATATAAACTATTAAATGTACTTTCTTCAATTAATATTAATTTCGAAAAATAGGATTCACATTAATTAATTAATGCTTTTCTTTTCAAATAGGATTCCCATTAATTAAAAACGTGCATTATCTCTTTAATGTGACTTATCCACATGTGGTTTTAATCATCTTACTTAAATTAGAAAGTCAACATTTTATTTTTTAGTCAAACTTACTATAAATGTATTTTTCCAACAACCTTTTTATATAGATATAGATATAGATATAGATATAGATATAGATATAAATTTCTTTCGCTATCTACCATTCTCGTATGATCCATTCTCTCTCTATATATATACATACATGCATACATGTAGTTGATTGGAAAACCGGTTTGGGTTTCAATCTGTTCCAATATTGAATCGGCACAGTTCCGCTGTTCAACAGATTCGAACCTACTACAGTCATTGACCTGGTTTGGCTCAATCCAATGGCCATGTTTGATTGTAACTAACTTTGTAATAGAGAGACAACGTGGAGCCGATGATAACAACATTCGAAGATAGAAATCAAGTTTGAAACCCATCTATCAACATAATGAGACGGCAAGGTGGGAAACCAATTCATATGCAAGCTAGTTCAATTAAAAACTTCTTAACACGGTTACAACATACTACCAACAAAGCCACTTAAACTTTGCATCATTGTCGACTGAAATTTCAAGTGTTGGCCAGTCGCGTGGTTCAAAGCACTGAGAAACTACAGACCATGTACTGCAGGAGATACTCATCACTGCAGCAGGAAACTAGAACTTAATCACCTGTTTCGGTTGGCTTCCCAGCTTTCCCAAAGCCTTGTCCAATGCAGTGGGAAACTCATCAAAAGGGCAAAGGTCCATGCTGCAATTGACAAACAGGTCACTACTAAGGCCAGCAATTCTAACCAACATTCAATAAAATACAGTTATTGAAGTTCGGTTCAAACAATAAGTTTCACCATCATCATCATCAACATCAACATCAACATACCCAGTATATTCCCAAACAGGTTGGGGTCTGGGGGGTCAGTTGCACGCAGACCTTACCCTTGTAATTATACAAGGAGGCTGTTTCCATAGCGACCCAAGGTGCGTTGCGTCGTTTGATATATTTTTTCTAGAAACTTCACTAATAGAAGAAGCACTAGAATTTAATTGAGCCATTTTAATCTAGTCCATTATTTGCACGATGCCAGAAGAATTGTCAACATTGACTCTTCCAGCTCCATTTGCAATGGACTCAAACAATAAGTTTCACCAAA